GACGACGATGATATACCGCAGCTGCTGACGCGGGAGCCACGTCAGTCTCCAAGAGACCCGCGCGCCGTCCGTCACTCAAACAGCGACGTGCTGGAGGAAAGCCTCCTGGAGTGTCCCAACTGCAGCGTCCGAGTACCCCGTATCCCGTCACCGGGATCTCCTCAATCATCTGGACATCTGCTGCCAGTAGTGGGAGGACTTGCCTCGACAGGATACGAAAGGGCCTTGTTTGAAAGCCATGGGCGCCAACGCGTCCCACTCCAGGCGTGTGTTTCTAAAATGAATGTCTCGTGAGGTTACGAGCAGTTAAATTTAAGTAATTTATGTGTTGCCGGGAATGTTTTTATTTTGCTTTGGTTTTTGTGATGCCTCATTTTTAAGTTCCTTTATTTTATTGCGACGTCATACTGTATTGCCTGCTGAGCTGTACACAATACCTTGACCAAGAGAAATAAATAGAAACGCCCTTGCATAATGAAACCAAAAATGAAAGGCCAGGGAGCAGAACGTTTAAATGGCACATGGACATTGCACTTACACCACTGGAAATGTTAAAGACGTTTTTAATTGAATAGTTTTCTATTAGTAGTTGTTGAGTGAACAAACCCTTAATAGTCAAAAATAAAATTCTCAAATGTGACCGTTGAACAATGCCATTTGAGATGGTAACTAGTGGCATTAACTTTATTGTTTAGTAACCCTTTTTTTATTAAAGGTCTAGAAGCCTGAGCCTTTGAAACCTCAATATACCAAGTGAGTTAGTAAATGGAAGGAGTCGGCCAGGTGTTTTTCCACACTGCGTTATAAGCACGTCAACCAAAGTTCGATTCCTGTCCGCGGCTAACAGCGTAAAGTATGGCCAAACAAACCCCACAATCGACACTGCTGTGAAGAGTCTTTCAGCAGCGGAACTGCCGAATGACTTGATCAAATATACATGAATTTTTTCTTCAGTTGAGAAAACAAAAGTGGTATTCTTACTATTATGGAGGTAATTCTCCAACATGGTTGTGGGTCCTGATTAACCTCGTACCATCTGGACTCAACATTCACAATACAGCTCGGGAGGTATTCATCTCAAATTAATTAGGATAACATATCGTATACTGTACATAATAAATTGGATGCCTGACAGTTTGAAACCCTGTTGACATTTGATTGCAGTTTGTATGGTATCTATTTTCCTTTTGTTCAAATTCCCGCAAGATAGCACGACGACGTTTGATAATACTGCTTAGCTTTTTTTACTCGAATATTGCAACAACTTCCTCAACTTGCACTCATGACATGACCTGTTTTTATGATATAACCCATATTAAATGTATACACTTTTTTTTTAAAGAATGTTATTTTTATTAAAACGAAGGGAGTTTTGCCAAAATAAATTTTTATAAACTGGCTCTGGAATTGTGTTTTTTTTAGAATATACATGAATTTGAAAGTGCTTCAACCTGTGCATTTTGTTCTCTACATGAGTTACACAATTGAATGCAAGTGTAGTGGGTCCAACTGAGTCACAGACGTTGTGCTGTCCACGATGTAGGAACATCGAATGGCACGGCCCTTCCAGGCCGCCACCATACAGTGACATCCCCGATGTCACGACACATAACAAGTATAAAAACTTGAGGCGCTGTATGAAATATGTTTTATACTCTTTGGTTCTTTCGGTAAAGTCACGTCGGTAGAAAAAATAATCGATCACGACGTTTCGATCGCAACGTAAGCAATCGTCCTCGGGCAGATTGCTTGCGTTGCGATCGAAACGTGATTTATTATGTTTTCTACCTACGTGACTTTACCGAAAGAACCAAAGGGTATGGATTCCTGCAGTCACGAAAGCTTCAAATCAAGATTACATATGTTTGTGTTTAATTATTGTGTGCTTTGGACATTGGCATATTCTGTTGTCTACATTTACAGCCCCTTTGTTAATCCACTGCTGGACAAGTGCCTCCGGTATCGTGTGTATCGTGGACGTTATTTGATCATACTTCACGTTGGTCATGAGTTGGTGAAGGCAGAGGACATGAGTACAATACAACAATGCATTCTAGATTTGAAGCTTTCGTGACTGCAAGGATTCATACTCTTAGTTCTTTCGGTAAAGTCACATAGGTAAAAAATGAAATCAAAATTAATAAAAAAAACAATAAATCACGACGTTTCGGAGGCAACACAAGCTTCCGTCTTCAGGTGAAACTCACAGAAAAATATCTGTATCAAGTGAAGAGAAATCCCAAGAGGTACGACCTTATATAGTGCAATGCATTTTGCTCGACTGCCGTCTTGATCACCAACAGCACAGCATGCATTGTGCTCACACATGCAACGTTTTATTCATGATCAACTCTACTTTAGCTTCTGAGATTTGACGAGATGGGGAATTTTTCAGGTGATCTGGTAATTGGCAGTTGACAATAATATGAAACATTTTAAATTGCACAACATTTATTTAATTATACATTTACTTGACGTGTTTTTTTAAATATATATAAATGCAGTATTTGAGCTGGCCACGTTGGCAAAGTATGTTTAGAGCAAGCTTCTACACTGTTGCCAGTGCAGTCACTAAAGTTTTGATGTAAGTCGTATCTTGTTTCCCACCTGCACAATTAAGCGATCAATGTGTCACTTCTAGATTGCCCCCTTTGAAGTACACATGCACGCCAGATTATAACTGGGAAACAAAAATCTATCAATACTGATCGCAGATGCTCTTTGTAGTGGCTTTTATTAGTGCCGCAGTAATGGCATATTAAGTTATGATTACAAGCCTGCATGTTGGTACCTGCATAGGCTGTGCAAGCATGTCAGCATTTTTCTTAATCGGGTGGTTGGGCGGTGATTTCAAAGTTTCAGACATTGCATAAACAAACAGCTTCATACATTTCTATTTGTTTATATCTATACAATATGTAATAAATGTCAGCTCTGATGGATTGTGAATTGTCCACTCCTGCCTCACGGTTGTGAAGGGGATTTCAGTATCAGCCCATGCTCGTATGAGCAGGAAAACACTGACTTTTGAAAATGATGGGTTTCTTTCATGAAACCAGTTGAGTGTCCGTGGAGACAGTGGGCCCCCTAGTCATGTCTGTTATGGTCATCATTCCACCGCGCAAAAATGCTGCGCTAGTTCCACCAACACTCACTCGCCACTGACATTATCCCTGGACTGGGAATCGAACTCCATGTCGCCGGATTTGTAGTGCCGTTTAGCTATCCACTGCGCCACCGCTCCCCTCCGCTCAGACACATACACGCACAGTGGGAGAAAACGACATGCACAGTGGGAGAAAACGACACCCCATGGATTCCTCTGGGCTATTGATTCAAGTCAAGGAGTTCGTGCAGATGGCAGGGAAGGTGAGAGGAGGGGAGGGATGGGCGGCAATGCATTACCAACTCGGCTGCCTGACGGTCAACACTCAGTGGTGAGTGGCATCTGCTGAACAGTTCCTGGCCCTCCTCTAGGCCGACCTAGCCTCAAATGAGTACCTGGCGTGGTGCGTAAACATCGCCACTGGGGAGACAAAGGCGGCCGGATCCGATTCCCTGCCACGACTAACATCAACCCGCACTGAGCAGCGTGGTGAAGTATGTACAACTCGTACGAGCGACGCAACGTGCAGAGGCCTTCATCAAGCAGTGGATTGGAAAGGGCTGTGAGTTCACCTAAGAGGCCTTCATCCAGCAGTGGATTGACAAAGGAATGTGCGATAATAATTTTGTTAAATGATAAACACGATCATTACGGTGCACATTCGCCCTATGAAAACGCACTTTTCCTCCACTCATTTAAAAAAAATGTTGGGATTGCGTCTTATCATCCGGTGTGTGTGAACGTGCTAGAATATATATATCTTGTACTTTTTTCTTTAACCTGGAAAACCTTTTTGGGGACATCTTGATTTCCAGAGCGCCGTACGATCAGGAAAAAAATAATATACCGATGACGATGGGTGAGAAATGGGTCAAGAGCAATGTTACGTGAACTTCTCTCGCAAATGCTTCTGTGGTCATCGGCGCGCATTCACCCAGCCTCAGTGCGCGTGTTGGGGGAAGGGGTAAGGGACGTTTAAAACCAAGACAAAGGTGCCCCCAGTATGGGCCTCAGTGCCGGATTATCCTCGTAGCAAAAGCAGCTACACATGCAGTAGCTACGGGCCCCGCACTTTCAAAGGCCCGCGCTAAATGCTTTCAAGCTATCAATTCCGGTTCAGTGATTCTGCACTTGCTCTATTACTATAGTACTATACCGCCTTCAGCTTATACGAACGACTGGGTGTTTAAGGTTAGCGATTTGTCGCATTATCTGGCTGTATAGCAAATTAGCACATTGGGATTTGGTGTGGCCGGGTTTTTTCGTGCCCGACCGCCTTTGTCTCCCCGACGCTGATACATTTATACACTGCACCGTACCACCGGGCACTCGTTTAAGGCCGAGTCGTTCTACGGGGAGGAGTAATGTCGACGGTTCAAGTGTTCGCCACTGATATTAATCGTGAGCGGCTAATCGCTAACCACTACCCTGCCGCTCCCCCGCCACCACACACAAAGCCAAAGACCCCCCCTATAGCCTGAACAGATTATTGAGGCAAGTGCTGTAAGCAAGGCACATGAGGGGTTGGGTGGCCCAGCACCACGCCCGGCCGCCTTCGTCTCCCCGGTGGCGATGTTTACGCACCCACACCAGTTACTCACTCGAGGCTGAGTCGACCTAGGGGAGGCCCCAGGACCGGTTCGGAAATTCGTCGCTGGTATTTGCCGCGAACGGCGATTCGAACTGGGGTCGAGGGCTCATAGCACAGAGCCCTATCCACTCCCCCCCACCAAAGCCCTCCATGCACACACGCACCCCCCCCACACACACACCAGCAGCATCTTCAGCCGCTCTCCCTCTCACACTCACACACTTGGCCGTGCATGCTTTGTTGTAGCAACGCTCATCACCGTCGATTCATTATTTATCAGACCCGTCACGCCGGGTGACCCCAGCCGCGCAACAACCCAAGCCCAGCGCCTCTCCAGGTGACCCGGCCTCTCCGCGGGCACCATCATCATTCCAGCGTGCTGCAACTCGAAGGCGCAAATCACAATTGCACGTAGATCCCGTCTGTGTCGCCGCTGTACGTCTGACATCGTTACGAAGGCGATCTGACCCGTGCGGAAGATTAGGACAAAATTCCCGATACACGGGTTGCTGAGTCCCAGAGAGGGAACTTTTGTCGAGATCATTCCACCAGCAGTGGCATCAAGCAGCCAATTTGAGTACTGCACCTTCAACCTCGCATCTTTTTACCGTGACCCTTCGGGCGAAGTGTTCGCGTTGTGGAACCACCACCACCACCAACCACCACGACCACCACCACGATGAGCGTGGTGTCTCGAGCCTTCCCCGACGACCGATCGTCGTTCGTCCAGATGCACAACAACGACAGCCAGCAGCAGCAGCAGCAACTCTTCTCCTACTTCACCGAGGTGGTGCAGGCGTCGACCCACAGACGCACGGAACACCTCGTGGCCCAGACCCTGGTGCTGGCTCTCATCTTCCTCACCGCCGTGTCCACCAACGCCCTCCTGGCCGTCGTCCTCATCAAGAACGCGCGCTCATTGAGCCCCACGGCGTGCCTGGTGCTGCACCTGACACTCGCCGACCTCCTGTTCGTGTCCGCGGTGCCCACCGTGACGCTGGGCCGCTGGAGGGAATCGTGGAATTTCGGGGTGCCCGTCTGCAAGGGGGTCATGTACACGCTGGGCTTGGGCATCTCGTCCATGCTCTACGCGCTCGCTGCCATCAGCGTGTGCCGGCAACTGTGCGTGAACCGGGCGCCCGGCCGTGCGCTCGACGTTCGATTCCCCGGCGGCACCAAGGGGCTCGTCGTGGTCGTGTCGGTGGTCATCGTCGCGCTGTCCGCCGCCGGCGCCGTGCCCGTGGCCGTGTACTTCCAGGTGGTGGCCGTGCAGGTCAAGAACCATGTAGGCGATTCCTTCCACGCGGCCGCATTGGTCTCGAGACCCACCGACCTTCTTAGTTCGTGCGGGTCATGGAGATGGAGAGCGTCAGCTGCAATTTCATATTCAGGCGTGCGTGCGTGTGTCTCCTGTGTGTGTCTCCTGTGTGTGTCTCTGTGTCTCTGTGTGTGTGTCTCTGTGTGTCTCATGTGTGTCTCTGTGTGTGTGTGTCTGTGTGTGTGTCTCCTGCGTGTGTCTGTGTGTCTCCTGTGTGTGTGTCTCTGTGTGTCTCTCTGTGTGTGTCTCCTGTGTGTCTCTGTGTGTGTCTCCTGTGTGTATCTTTGTGTGTGTCTCTTTGTGTGTGTCTCTCTGTGTGTCTGTGTGTGTCTCTGTGTGTGTCTCTGTGTGTGTGTCTCTCTGTGTGTCTGTGTGTGTCTCTGTGTGTGTCTCTATGTGTGTCTCTGTGTGTGTCTCTGTGTGTGTGGGTCTCTGTGTGTGTCTCTCTGTGTGCGTCTCTCTGTGTGTATCGCCTGTGTGTGTCTCTGTGTGTGTATCTCTGTGTGTGTGTCTCTGTGTGTGTGTCTCCTGTGTGTGTGTCTCTCTGTGTGTCTGTCTGTGTGTGTCTCTGTGTGTGTCTCTGTGTGTGTCTCCTGTGTGTGTCTCTCTGTGTGTGTCTCTGTGTGGGGAGCGGTAGTGTAGCGGTTAGCGCGCTGCGCTATGAACCTGGCGACCCGGGTTCGATTCCCGCTCACGGCTAACACCAGTGACGATTATCTGAACCGGTCCTGGGCCTCCCCTAGGTCGACTCAGCCTTAAATGAGTACCTGGTGCGGTGTGTAAACATCGCCACTAGGGAGACAAAGGCGGTCGGGCGTGGTGCTGGCCACCCACCCCCTCGTGTACCGTTCCGGCCTTCATAGGTGCTCGCTAACAGCACTTGCCCCTACAGTCTGTTCAGGCTATACGGGGGATCTTTGTCTCCCGTGTGTGACCATCGGAGGGGAGCGGTAGTGTGGCGGTTAGCGCGCTGCGTTACGCACCTGGCTTCTCGAGTTTGATTCCCGCTCACGACCAGCACCAGTGACGATTATCTAAACCGGTCCTGGCACTTGCTAAGGTCAACTCAGCCTCAAATGAGTACCTGGCGCGGTGCGTAAACATCGCCACTGGGGAGACAAAGGCGGCCGGGTGTGGTGCTGGCAACCCACCACATCGTGTGCCGTTGTGGCCGTCATAGGTGCTCGCTAACAGCACTTGCCCCAACAGTCTGTTACAGTCTGTTACAGGCGACCATGAGAGGCCTTCATCCAGCAGTGAATTTGACACGGGCGGTGAGTTCACCGAACAGAAAAAGCGTACTCAGATCGTCACTTTCTCCCCCATTACGGTGACCTCTAAGGGTGTGTGGGTAACATCACGCTGCGCCGTGCCCGTGTCTCGTCAGACGGTCGACATCTGCACGTTCGTGTCGCCCGCGTCCGTCTCCTATGCGTGGTTCGCGCCGCTCTCCATCCTCGCCTTCCTCGTGCCCCTGTTGTTCATGGTCGTCAACTACTGCAGGATCTTCAAGGTGAGATGATGCGTCGCATCGGAGCCCGGGAGCCGTTTTGGGGGTTTTTTTGTTTTTTCGTCTCGCGCACACGCGTAGTGTCCGACGTTTCGACCTGCGTGCCGGGAGCTCCTTTGCAGGAAATTAATTCGGCGAGTTCCAGCTCAGTTAAATTTCGATTTAAAGCTTTCGTGACTGCAGGGATTCATCTTTTTGGTTCTTTCGGTAAAGTCTGTCGGGGAGACAACAGCGTCTCCCCGACAGACCTGGTCTTCACCTGAGGACGGCTGCTTGCGTTGTGGCCGAAACGTCGTGATACTTATTTTATTATGTTTAAATTTTATTATTTCCCTTCTACGTGACTTCAGCTCAGTTGTTCGGTGAATTCGGTTCCTGAGTTTGCGGGGCAAAACGTTGGACATCGTGGCTTACAACATGCGTTACCATCTGAACTTTTCAAACCGTTGATTTTGGACCTCCTTATTTGCTTTCCTTTGTCTTCTCTGCCCTCGCTCGGCCTCGATAATTGTCCATTTCCTCCTTGGTAATTCTGTGCTCAGGGATGTCTGTCACATCACTGGCGCATTATAGAGGTACGTCCTTGTTGTTGTTAATAGACTTGTGTGATACTGCATTAAAGCACTTGCAGCCGGGAAACGCAAGGATAAATGTCACTCAAGTTGAACATTTATACTGGAGATATGCTTTGGAGTTAAGCCCCATTGAATTGTTAAATATAACTAACATTGATCAGTCTTAAACGTTGAGACCTGTGAGTCTTAATTGTTGAGACCTGTGCCTGGTTGCATAGAACAGGAAAACGTCTCTTGGTTTTCGATGTAAGTCAATGTCAATTCGGGTTAAATTTTCACTCAAGGTGTTTTAGGCTACCACCCACGGTGTCTTAAGTATTAAGTTTAATTTGTGTCATTGTGCAATACTTTCCAACCTCCCCAGCTAGTGTCTGCAGCGTGCGCAGCAAACCTTCAGCCACAGAGTGGCGGAGTGCAGTACCATCGCAGGAGAATGCAAAACGGAGACCGGGGAGACGTCCGCTCCGGTTTTCCGGCCATTCCAGGATCAGGGAAGTGAACCGAGGGCCACAGGGTGTGGTCGGAACATGAATCTAGAACAGTAGCGATATACTAATTGAAATGAAACTCTCTTGACACAAAATAGGGCCTGGATGGCAAACAGGAACGAAGGGAAAATTAAATAAATGCCAATGGCCGCACTGCCGAAAGAGCCCAGGCAGCAGTATGAGCTATTCATTATTCATACCGGTTAACCCAGACGAAAAAAAAACCTCCCCGCCAAACAGGGTTTCATGTTCAAAACTCAGCACAGATGGCTTCAAGAGGCCATCACTGCCCCGCAACCTCACGGGCACCTTTGCATCCTAAAGCCCTACGACACCTGGCATCCCAGCAAAGTTGGTAGCCACGTCATAATCACGAGGCGTCCCGTTCCATTCCCCGCGTAGTGTAACGTTGGGCAGCACTTGCCCCGCAATGCAGGCGTCTGCGGTTACGTCTCCCGGAGAGCGGCAGCTGAAACAGCGGTGCAAAGTTACTGAAATCCCAGCCGCCCACCTTTGTCCACACAGCAGCGGTGTACACGGGTACACCGCACTTGTGTCGATTGGCACGATGGCGCGTGGTGGGGTACGACGTGGGGACTCCCATCTCTTCTAAGGTGTGTGGTTAGCATGGAAGAGAACACCAAAATGCCCCTGAATGGGCCTCTATAAAGGCCGATCTGCCAGCAGTGGTGTGAGAAATAAATTGCAGGGCTGCGGTGGCGAGATGTTAGCTCCCTCGCCTGGTATGCAGGAGGTCGTGGGTTCGATCCCGACCCTGACGCACGCACATTTGGAGTTTGCATGGCTCTCCATGGTGGCGTAGGATTTTTTTTTTCCGGCTCCTCCGGTTTTTCCCTCCACATTTAGAAACATGCATTTGTGGAGTGTTTGGCTGCTATACATTTCCACGTGAAATTATTTGTGGACAGGTTACTTCTAAAAAGAGCGAAATAGCTCAGTGGGCATTACCTGGTAAAATTAAAAGAGTTGTGATCTCTCCGTAAGGCTTGCCTCAGGCTGATTGTCACCAAACTTCTCCATACATTTTTTGGTTTGTTTGTTTGCCGTGTGCCGTCCGCAGACCGTCCGGCAGAGCAGAGACCGCACCTGGAACAACGGCCTGAACCTGGGTCTCCAGCCGAAGCAGCAGCACAGAGCGAGCCGGTCCCTCCGGAAGCTCCTGCGCTCCCTCATGCTCCTGGTGACGTCGTTCTTCATCTTCTGGCTGCCCCTGTTCGTCACCGTGTGGCTCATGTACCTGGACAGGGCTGCGAGTAGCCGCGTGGAGAAGCTCAGCACGCCGGCCTTCACCTGGGTCGCCATCATCGCGTTTGCCAACACGTGCCTCAACCCGCTCCTCTACGGCTTCTCCAACCGTCGCATCCGAGCCATGCTGGCCAGGAGCTGCCCGACCTGCGGCTACCCCGCCAACCGCGTCGACCCGGGCGGCGAGCGGAGGGACGGCGGCGACGGGAGGCGGCAGTGGCGGAAGAAGAGCGGATCCGGGCGGGTGCCGGCGACGGTCAGCTACATCGAGGACTCCAATGAAGAATACTCGCAGATCGAGGAAACGTGAGGCGAGGGGGGAGGGTTGAGATGAGGCGGTCGCGGCTGTGATCGTCGTCGTCCCTAGTGTCGTCGGGTGGCGTCGACTGAGCTCACTGCTCTGTCCGCACGACGGTCATCAGGATCATCATAGGTGTTTGCCAACCTTTGGCTGCCATTCTGTCACCATCCCTTGTCGTAATGCGTCCTGCCAAGGCTCAATGTTCTTAACAGTCAGGATGTTGTCTCCGATGTGTGTTTGTTCTCTGATCCGCTTTGTTTCTATTTACGTCTCTATCGGTGCAATTCACAGGGCGTACCTCTCGCCGTGGTTCCGTTTCGTCTGTCGGTGTCGATGTTGTCTAATCCACGGCCAAGTCGGCAACGTCCGCTGATTTAAAACTTGCGCTGCTTTCAATCGTCAAATTTACATTCGACAACAAAAAGAACCACCGGAGTGCAATGCGGCAGGGCATGAAATGTGAATGATTTAAATAGCGGCACGGTGGAATTAGACACCTTTGTGTCCATATAGAGGGGGCGGTGAAAAATCCTCTTAGCCACCAACCACGTAAACGTTTCTCACCACCGCGAACCATTACAGATGCACTTTTTTTCAAATCTATGATCCGTACAAAAAGTTACATTAATTGCATGTTAATTTAATCAAAATCAAGCACGATATAAACACCGTGCTACGCCTGCGACCTACATCACCTGGAAGGCGCCTTATCTCCCTAGGATATCGGAAGCTAAGCAGGCCTGAGCCTGGATAGCGCTTGGCGAGGGCAGCCCTCGTTCATAAAATCGGTGTCGTAGGCCGCATCGGGGCTACGCGGCGGGCAGCAGAGGGTAGCACAACAGCGACATTAAATTGTACTCTTGTACGGCGTCACATCCACGCTACCCACTTTCACCAACCCGCACGCGCCAGCGTGGTGAAGTACGCTCAAATTAAGCCACGTGACCTCGCGCTCTGTGGGGAGGCCTTCATCCAGCAGTGGATTGGCAAAAGGGATGCGCGTACACTAATGCACTTATTTCAAGTTATGATGAGTAGGGCTAATTAAAAATTCGTGTGCCATGTCTGTGAGCTAGTGTTATATCTAAGCACTTTATCTTTCTCGGGAAATATCTGGACAAATCCACCTGAACGGTATGTCGTGCGTCTGTTGAAGGCACTAGAGAGTAGGTTGCTGTCCGATTTGTGTTGAGTTTGAGTGTTTATTTTTTCGTGTTTGTGGGTTTTCTCCAGGCGTTCTGGGTTAACTCGAAACAGGTAATGGGCCAAACATTGCAAAAACAAGTAACCTGCTGAAAATGAGGCTTTCCTGGTTGAACATGCTTTATTCTTTATGTTCACACAAGATATGCACGAAACTATAGGTTAAATGACCAATTTGTTTCAATGTCCCAGAAACTCCTCTTCTTGGTTCTTTCGGTAAAGTCACGTAGAAAGGAAATAATAAAATAATACAAAGAAAACATAATAAAATAAAACTTTCAAATTGCATATTGCGGCTGACATCATGCCAGCAAGCAAGATGATTGTAGCCTTCATCCACCTGGTGAATACTTCCACCCCCTTTAATAACTTACAGCCCTTTGTCAATCCACTGCTGGATGAGGACCTCCCCACGCCCTTTCTGTTCGTCGAGGTCGTTTGACCTTAATCCACCATGCAGACCAAAATCCGGTTGATGAAAGGGGTATCCAGAACCAGTTCAAATATCGTCCGCCACCGATGCAAACCGTGGCCTAGAGTAAAAAAAATTACGTGAGTCGGTTTATATCTCAGGGCGCTGACCACTGCACCGCCATTCCATAAATCTTGCTGTTGACCCATGGAAGCAAGTGACGGGATCGTAGTCTGTGTCCGTTTGATGCAGACTACAATTTCCGTCGTTGTGGACACAACGTCTCGTTTGTAAAGCTGTCGGCTGGTGTTCCCCATCCTGTCGTCGTGAATGGTGATGTTCCCGGCCGCCTCGCCATTTGCGTTGTCGTCTAAGCAATGCTTTTGGGAACAAATTCAAGCTTGGCTGCATATGTTTCCGCCGTCCTGCTGGAGGGCTCATTCGATGAGCTCTCAGGCTTTCACCGTGTGCTGCTTGGCATTACGTCCGACGTTTCGTTCCATGTGCTGGGAACGAATCGTCAGACAACCATGACAACAGCAAAAAACACACGCGGCACAGCCCCGAAAAAAAACCGCAGCAGAGAGATAATTCGAAGAGAATTCATAACACTGGTTGCCCATTGATTGGTGTCTATGAAGTATGGGAATTGACGGCAGGAACTTCTTGACGGGTAACACACTTTTATTAAATCCTTTAGGTATCACAATACAACGTGTGGTCTCTCTTCTTCCTCCGACACACTCCACTAATCTCGTGTAAGCTCTAGGCCTCTGGCTACACCCGATACACTTGACTCGTGTAGACCCTATGCCTCTGGCTACACACAATATACTCGACTCGTGTAAGCCCTATGCCTCTGGCTACACAATACACTCGACTCGTGTAAGCCCTATGCCTCTGGCTACACAATACACTCGACTCGTGTAAGCCCTATGCCCTGGCTACACATAGTACATTCGGCTCGTGTAGACCTATGGCTACACCCACTACACTCGCCTCTGGGTTACACAGAGTCCCGGTCCCCTTAGGACAGCGGGGCTAGGTACCGCAGGGCTCTAGGTCTTCATCCCCGTCTTCCTTCTTCGCTGGTTACACACTGCCCTTACGCCTGTGTGCATCCCCTTTTATAGCCCCTGCTCACGAGGGACGGAGCTGATGCGGCGTCGACGTGAGCGTCGTTCCTTAATGACCCAATCACGACGCACTCTCTCTACGATCCGCTTTCCCCAGCGCGTGTTAACATTACTCCACCAATCACACTGCGCTGCCACCTGATCACTCCCTCTCAGCGCGTCACCACCTACACAGCCAATCATCACGCACTGTGCATACGATCCTTAATCCCAGCGCGTATCACCTCTACATCTATACATGGACCTTTGTCCAAAGTGTCAATTATATTTTTCTGAAATTGGGGTGTTACGATGAATCGTCGCGCAGGACGATGAGAGCTATATGGGGTCCGGCAGAAATGAAAGTGGCGATGTTTATTTTCTCGAGTACGTGAGCCGACAGCTCAGTAGCTATAGACGTCAAAGTGTGCAGGCGGTGTAACTGCAACGGTGCAATTGCAACAGGGCATACGCCCCCCCCCTCTTCAGGAGCCCCCCCCCCCCGCCGACATCCATCTCTTGCACCAGGACTCATGCCAATCAAGCTAAGCCAGTGAGACACTTGCTAATGATTGACACAATGCAATACACAAACATTGTATTTTCAGATGCCCGATTATTATATATGTGCACTCACGATTATTTGTCTACTTCAAAGCAAACAACAGTCGTATTTAATGTTGTCATTCGTTTTATTGTTTCGTGAATTGCAATATTTTCATAATTACAAACTAATCGTATGAGGAATTACAATCTACAAATGCTTCGCTTATATAACAGTTATCAAAGTCCAAAGCTAAAATCAGAACATGACATACGATACACTTGTTATTAGCATAGAATAATCAAAACTATCAGTATAATGCAGAGTGAAGCATGTCAAACAGACAGCTGTGCCAACAAATGATTACAGCCGTATAGAAGAACACATTGGGTTGTTTATTTTTTTAAACTCACGTTACGCATATGGATGTGCTCTTTACCAAATTCAAATACAATGAACGGCATTGTGGTTTCAAACTGGGGAAATTCACTCACAAATCAATCCCCATCCGTTCCTGGTTAAAGACACAGATCTGCAACAACAAAAAAGGAGAAAATATACGTGTGTTATAAAACAAGCACAGCATTGATCGCTGACTCAGAAGTGCCAAACTTTACAATAAACTTGATAACATTTTATGGAAGGATACAGTTTTTTTTCAGCCGCGTGTGTGTTTTGATGTGTCTTCGCTGGTAGTGGTGCAATGCTTTGTGCGCTACGCTACAAACCCCTTCACCTGAGTTCATTTGCCAGCCACGGCTAACATCGGTGGTAAGTGACATCTACACCACCGAGGTTGACTCGGCTTAACACGAGGACCGGGTGCAGTGTGTAACCATCGGCGCTGGGGAGACAGAAGGAGCCGTGCTGGACGTACTTGGTGCGCACTAAGAACACTTGCCCCAGCAGTCTGTACGGGGGATCTCTACGTGTGCGTGTGAGTGTGTGCGTGAATGATCACGCTTGCACGCACGAGTGTGCCTCCATGAGCCATGTGAGTGTACATCAACGATCGTGCACGTGCGTATACGTGAGTGTGCGTGCATGATTGGGTGCGTGTGCAAGTACAGACATGCATACATGTTTATGTGTGTGCATGCATGATAGTGTGTGCATGATTGCGTGTGAATGCATGTTCGAGTGTGCGTGCACAAGCGTGCACGATTGTTAGTGTGTAGGTTAGCGCGCTGTGCTATGACCCCGGCGACCCGAGATTGATTCCCGCTCACGGCCACTAGTGACGATTATATGATTATATAGATCGACTCGGCCTCAAATTAGTACCTGGTGAGGTCTGTAAACATGGCCACTGGAGAGACAAAGGGGGTCGGTCGGGCGTGGTGCTGGCCACCCACCCCCTCGTGTACCGTTCCGGCCTTCATAGGTGCTCGCTAACAGCACTTGCCCCTACAGTCTGTTAAGGCTATACGGGGGATCTTTGTCTTTGTGCGTGCGTGTCATACCAATCAAGCAACCCGTGGCACCTGGGTCTGACCCGTGACCTCCTGCCAGCGGGCGTTCGACACTTCACGTGGCCTTAACGTGCACATAGCCTGGCACAAACGTCGTGGTTACGTCACCGCCACTTAGTGGTGAATGCCGGTTATTGTTGTTGTTGTTTGTGTGTGTGTGTGCGTTTGTCGCACTCACTCGTGTGCTCCACGATGTGGTACTTCCCCGCCAGGCACAGCGACTCCTGCTTGAGGCGGATGCTGCGCTGCATGCTCGGGGTCATGCCCTTGAGCTGGCGCAGGAACACGATGGAGTAGCTGTTGGCACACGTCCCGTCGTCCGCACGCTCTCGGCACGAGTACATGATGGCGTACGAGTCGTAGTCCGTGTCCACCACCCAGAAGTCGTCTCCTGCAACCGCGTGACCCAAGCGTTAGCCCAACGTTTCGCTGGGCAGTTTTCAAACTAGGCGCATGCCGTTTCGGTCGCGGGGTGGAGGGGGGTTGCTTTGGCTGTACTTTGCCGCGCCAGTCAGTGAGGATTGCTTCAAGTTCACGTTTCATTTATTAGGTATAGCCCTGTGAGCCAATCGGCTCTTGAATCGGGTGCAACCGCAACAAACAAAAAACAAAAACATGAACAAAAAAACATCTTAAAGTGAATATGTGACTGAGTGCAAACAGAAAATCCAAGAAAAGACAGCAAAATATTGCAGAAAAAAACACCGTACACCAACGCTGTGTGCAAAAATCCCAGTGGGATGCTTGAAGGCAGGCAGCGTAGATGTGTGGGAGCGCAGAGTGTACAGGACAACAATTGATTTTGCTGCACCGTGCTCTGCTGCCCGCATCACGTAAGCACGCAGTCACCAGCGTCAACACGGCACGCATGGTGGATGCCCACCTCGGCGCTATCAAGGCTCAAGCTTGCTTAGCTTCTCAGATGTGGCATGAACGGGCACATCACGCGTGTCCACGAGGGCATAGGAACTATTCACAATGGGCAGCTCTTTTGTCAATCCGCCGTGAGGTTGAAGGGCTGGCCATGCCGTTTCGGTCATGGTGTTTGTTTGACTATACTTCACCACACTGGTCAGTGCGGCTTGGTGAAGGCAGGGTGGGGTGGGGTGGGGGGGGAATGTGTATAACCGGTTCAGCTGTCACTTGCCACTGATGTTAGCCGTGGCTGGGAATTCAACTCAGGTGGTCGTGTTCGAATGAGGAAAAATGGATTGCCCATAGATTGGGTAGCATGAAAAAAACCCTCATTGCAAGCAAGCCTTATAAACTAAACTTTTTATCTTCTTGGTTCTTTCGGTAAAGTCACGTAGAAGGGAAATAATAAAATAATAAGAATAAAACATAGTAAAATAATTCTCACGACGTTTCGGTCACAATGCAAGCAGACGTCCTCAGGTGAAGAACAGGTCTGTCGGAAAAACAGCGTCTTTCCGACAGACCTGTTCTTTGTGGCCGAAACGTCGTGATAATGATTTTGTTTTAATTTTATTATTTTATTATTTCCCTTCTACGTGACTTTACCGAAAGAACCAAGAAGATGAATCCCTGCAGTCACGAAAGCTTTAAATCGAAATTTAAACTTTTTATTTTACCAGTTAAGGCCCACCGAGCTATGTAGCTCTTTTTCAGAAGCAACCTGGCCACAAATGATCGCGTAACGAAGTGGCTCATCACGTGGAAATGTAAAGCAGCCAAATACTCTAAACGCGCGTTGAGTCTAAATGTGGAAGAAAAAACCGGAGGACCCGGAGAAAAATCCACGTGACCACGGGGACAGAGACACGCAAACTCCAAAAATACAGGCGTCAGGGTCGGGATCGGACCCACGACCTCCTGTATACCACGCGAGGTGGTTAACATCTCATCACCCTGGCAAGATTTGGGGGGGGGGGGCATTGTTGAGCCAACGGGCATTCGATTTGTTTTGCCGGTGTGTGAGCGTACGTCCTCTGGCGAGGTAGCTGGCGAGGCCCCAGTACTTGAGCTTCATCTTGGCCGGGTTGTCGGTGTCGCTGTACGTGCCCACCATGTCGGCGCACACCACCCAGTGGCTGCAGGAGGAGAAAAAGGTGGAGGGGGGGGCAGCGACCGTGCGGCTAAGACGTTCGCCTTTGGTGGCGGGGGAGGGGGGAGGTGCGGGGGAGTTTCCATTCCATCTCGCGGGCCGATTCGCTCGCTGGCCTGCCGATGGTGGACGCGAAACGTTTCTGTCGGTTGGCTTGAGAGGTAAGGGCCCATGCTATAGCCCGGTGAAGGTGACGCAATGTTGGGTTGACGTTGGCACGTGGTTTGGAAGCGACGTTGGCCCAAAGTTTCCGTATGAACTGGGAGCTGGGTGCGAGGTTTGTCCGATAGTTGACCCGGCGATTGAGAGCGACGCGGCTCGCGAGAGATCTCAAGCGTCCTGAGGTTTTCTTCATTTTTACAAAAACGGTTTTAGAAATGTTTAAAGCCCCGTAATATTAGCAATTGCGAAACATTTCAACATTTTTTCTTACCGAGGTCATGAGCCATACATAGATCATCACCACCACCAGAGGTGCCCGGTTTCTTCCGCTTAAAATGAGTCCTTACGCAACTCTGGACGACGATAACTGCTCGGACTAAAGTGCTGTGAACGACCAAAGATGTTCCTGGTGTATAATGACAATACCCTGCAGTTAAAGCACCGAGGAGCGCATACGCAGCATTACATTGGAGAATTCCGAGGAGGAACACGTGGACCAGACAACGATACCGTGCCATGCTCAAGCAGGACACATCTTACAGCGGGGATGCAATGGCCGGTGGTGGAGACTAACGGCGTATTCACTCCCAAAGGAGGAAAACGCTCCCGACAGGACGCCCGCGCTCTGAAGATGGACGGGTCACATCGTCCCAAGCGCCAGAGGCACGGCGATACCACTTCGCCACTCCTGACGCGGTTATCTGCCTTGACCAGCTGAACGTCAAATTGCAGTCAGCCGTGCGAAGGAAAGAGCGCGCGCAGGAGCCGGGCGGATCTTCGCGACGGGCTCGGCGAGGACTTCATCGCACAGTGGATAGATCCTGACCGGCGACGAAGACGGCGACTGGCGGCGACTCACGGCGATCGATTCAC